AGTTTGGCGAAGCTGCGATGCCCCCTTGAATTGTACACCTCGCTGCAAAGCACTCAGTAAAAAGTGAGTGATAATGGTCAATATGAAAATTGTAGTGATGCATAAAAAACACAGATGCAAGATCATAGAGAAAAGCCCAATCACAACCATGAAACAAAAATGCAACATGACTTCTAAATTTATCCTAAAAAATATCAGTTTCATGTTGGTTGAAATTCAGTAAATGGTAAAATATGAGCATTCAGCCAAGGCTGCTCAGAGCTATGTGACATAGATTTGCCCAATGTAAGCACTTAATCACAATAAACTTCATCTGAGTCGATTTTAATCTGATTCTCAAACTGACAAACAAATACCTGGTGTCATGTCTTTTACTTACAAATAATAAAATGAACAGTACCTTACTCTCCTTCACCTTAAAATCTAATATGTTGCCAGTACTAAACAAATGCATGCAAACTCATTGCCACAGAATGACAAACTACTACGTACCTGAGATGGTCAAGTTAGGACAGCTTGTTTACTGGGAGTGCACAGTACTTAGAATATAGGGATATTGTGTCAAGATGTGGGAAAGTGGGGGAATGATTACAAATGCAGTCCCACATAAAGAAGGACATGTGGTCACCTTACATGACAGTGAGGAGGCTCAATTTTTTAAAAAGGTATGGATGAACTTTATCCTTGTGCGGTAGAAAATTAGTATTACAGACCAGAAAAAAACCTGAAAAAAATCCTGACAACAAGAAAGAGAGAGAGAGCGAGAAATACATAAAAAAGTTTATTTATTTGACAGTTCTCAAAAAAACAGAAAAAAAAAAGAAAGAAGTTAGTTGAACCGATGGGGTGTTGATCTGGTCAGTTGAGGGGGTTGTTGATCAGTTTCAGCTCCTTTGGTGTTCATGAAGTTAACAACAGATGCCCTACAGGGTGAACAATAAAACAATACACAAATCAGGAATGCTTTTACAGGTGGAGGCCACTAAAATTTTGTGTGTGTGAATGTCTCTGACCAAAAAATCAAAAACTGACTTGATGAGAGTGGCCCAAGGGCCCGACGTCCTCTAGTGGGCCCTGTCTGTGGAGCCTGATTGGCATTTGCCATAGAATACCAGAATTGGCAGGTCCACCACTAGCTGAGAGCAGGTTCATGCTCAGCCCAGGTGACAAACGTGAAAGGGTCTGGAGAAGCAATGGAAAAAGTTATGCTGCCTGTAACATCAGCCTTTCAGACACTGATGTTTCGTCTGGATCAAATAGGCTATTTAAAATGTGGTAAAACTATTTTGTGACTCCACCTTGTTTTGCCACACACACCTTCATCAGTAATATGTTCACTGAGAGGTCGCCCCCACAGTAAAAGAAAGGAAACATCGTCTCAGTGAAGGTGTGTATGTGTGTGTCAGCACTGAGATCAGAGAACGACAGCTTCCCTGCATCCCAGTCCAGAGTCACTCTGACTCTATTCAGAGTCATCCGTATTGGTAGAGCTGGTGGTGCCCACTCAAAGCATTCATATGTCATATGGAAAAATCCAGATGTCCTGTGTCCTTTCATCTGACAGGACTCTGCCTGCACATCCATTATCCAGTGTCTATGATCTTTAAACTCAACATCCCAGCTGTGAGTTCCCGAGTTTCAACCCTGAAAGCCCAGGACACAGAGGGCATAGTTAAACTTCTCTGGATTTTCAGGAATCTGCTGCTGCCTCTCTCCATAAGTGAAGCTGGTTAGATCTTCAGAAAGGATGAGTTTTGGATGTGTAGCGTTTGGGTCCAGGATCACGGGGGTGTAGGAGACTATGTCCTTCATGTTGTTCAAAATGTTGAAGGCCAGGTTGCCCAGGTGATTGGCCTGGTCCATCAGAGCTCCTGAGGGAAGATGTGGATCCATCAGGCGGCAGCGCTTGACTCTTTCCATTGCACCATTGTAGTTGTGCAGGAATGAGACGTCTTCAGCTCTCAGCTCCTCCTCTGTGGCTGTGACTATGTTTGAAAGAGCAACTATCTCCCTGCTCAGAGCCTCCATCTTCTCCTTCATCAGCCCACTCTTCAGCTTCTCTTTAAGAACGACTCACACAGGTTCTTTAAAACCAGATTACGAGCTGGATCTTCCCTCGAAGATCTTCTCATACAAATTGGACACTTGTTCGTTGGGTCTGCTCTCCACCAGCTCTTCAGACAGCCTCTACAGAATCTGTGGCTGCATGACAGAAGAACAGGATCTGTGAAGATGCTCTGACACACCAGACAGTGAAGATCCTCGTCTGATCTTGAAGCCATCGAGTTTCTGAGTGAAGCTGAAAACCGAAAGTACAGTCAGTCCTGGTTATTCTCGCTCCTGCTGACTTAAACTTCTTCTGAATCATATTTTTCAGTCAAACTTACTTTTAGTGTATGCAACATGTTGTTGTCTTCCACTTTTCTCTCCTGCATCTGGGCTCACTCAGTGGAAACTGGTAATTTAATCGAATTGTCTTTGTGTGTGTCTTCAGTGACGAAGAATAACAAGGTGTTTCCTGGTTTCTGTCAGGTGAGTTAGGTGAGGGGCTCTAAGAAATATGGACCAGAACTGTAAAATCTGTAACTTTACCTAACATTTTTGATGAATAACTAATTGTCTGTAAAAGTACCAAACAATAACTCTATGTAGGCTGTATAACAATACATTAGTTCATAATAATAGTTAACAATATAATAATTAAATTATTTCCAATTACAGACAGAAATAAATAGTAAAGAATTTCCAGCTTTGTTAAAAATGAAACTGATAGTTGTTACACTCAATGAAAAAAGTGTTTTATAATGTTTTTAGGCTATAAAATTATTTAAACTAAACTAAAATAAGATAAACATGTTTAAACCTTACATTTTAAAATTTAAAACAGTTCTTTGTTTTCAGAAATAAACAGACAAAATGATATCATTTTTGTGAGCAGCTGGGGCTCTCTTCCACAGTGACTCTCCCAACTGGTGGTGGCAGATGGCCGCCCCTCCCTGAGCCTGGCTCTACTGGAGGTTACTTCCTGTTAAAGGGAGTTTTTCCTTCCCACTGTCACCAAGTGCTCATTCATGGTGGGTCGCCTGAGGTGACTGTTGGTCCAAACTGGGGCTATATAAATCTAACTGAGTTGAAATTCAATTTGTGATTTGGGTTTCTGTAAAGATTTGAAACATTGTTACTACTTGTTCATTCTAACCCTAACCCATCCAGTCCGCTTATGATGACCTGTGGTTAATGTGCTCCTCCACTTTTGTTCCAGTTGTGTTTATGTACTTTAGTAAAGCTAAATTTAGCCTAGCTAGGACTAGCTGTTAGCCTAGCTGAAGAAGATGGTTTGAATTTACATGGTACTGACATTAGTGATTATTACTGCCACCAAAGAAGTGTTGTTTTTGGTAGCGTTTGTGTGCATGTCAGTTACTGGAGGATGTAGGAATTGATACTATTGACTGGTCTCCACGCTCGCCTTACCTAAATCCAACAGAACACATCTGGGACATTGTGTTTGGAGCCATCTGACACCACCAGGTTGCACCTCAGAATGTCCAAGAGCTCAATGATGCCCTGGTCCAGATCTGTTTGAGCAGTGTATATGTGCTTGGACTTCAACTTTCCTCATCACAGTTATTAAAATTGCATTCTGGATCATGATAAAAATAGTCAAGTAAGAAACTCACACTTGTATGCTCTTACCTTAAACTCATAGTTGAGCACAGGGAAACTTTCAGCTTGGAGAAACTAAATGTTTCCCAGTCCCGCATGAAAATGACAGGAGTGGAAAAATCTTACATGAACCCCCTATTTGTGAGCAAAAGGACAATATCTTTGCATTTCCAGATGGCTTGGCAGCATTGTATCTTTTTTGTGGGATATTTAGCTTTTCAAGGTTGTGCTAATTGTGCACATTTTAGGACGAGAAAAGCAGCTGGAGAAATCCTAGTCTTTTACACTGACCTCAGGCCAAGTTATCAGGATTTCAGCTAAACTGTTGCAATAAACTGCCCATTACTGTAGCTGCTCTGTTTTCCCAGCTCATGCCAGATGCTGAGTGTGTGACCCTGGCTGTCAGTTGCATCTCTCTGCTCTACTGTTTCTTCACCCCCATTCCCTGTCCCAGCTTGCCATTACACATCTTTGCAACGTGGGCGTCACTCCCTGGACTCGAGGTCTGGAACCAGGCGCTGGCTGCTCTGCATGTGTCTTGGGACTACAGTGGACTTTCACAACCTCCATGCACACTCAGCATGTACAGCTTAAGCTCAGTGATGGCTGGTGTTCATATTATTCAACAAAATAATCTAACCCCGTTCATTTTTAAGACTGTAAGTTGCTAGCTGATGGTAAACAGGCATTTATTCTACAGTCCTAATCTATAACAGGGTTGTTAATGTATTTTACATCGAGGAGCCCACTTTGAGCTTAAGTGGGCTCAAACCTGTTAAATTCTTTACAACCAGTGAAGCTGCGTGAAGATACCAAAGAATATTGCAATCATTTGTTGATAACTGCCCAAAATCTTGTTGGATCTTTTGTTTAACACAGCGATTTGATTTATGACATAGTTTCAGTGGGTGTGTCAGCCTTGACCTAACCTATCCCATGAACTGCTACACCTGTAAACACTATAACGTTTGTTTTACCTATGTGTGTGTCTGTGTCTTATTCTTGTCATCCCATTGCCGTCTTCCACGACCCTTGATATATCTTTTTTCTTTTTTTTAGCACCCACAGCTAAATCATACCCTCCACTCCCAGTCTCCTGTGTATCAGTATAACTGTGGTGCTGTTTTAGTGACTACTTGGCTTACCTTACCTAACAGCCCAAATTATTAAGAGCACTGTCCATTGTTAGTCCAGTTATTCCCAGGTTACTCACTTCTGGGAACAGTTAAGGCTTCAGAAAAGCCAAATATGGTAAGTATATTTGAATCTTTATCACGAGAAGCTTTTAAGAAACTTTAAAAAAAAAAAGTCAAGTTATTACATGGGAATGACTTTTTGCTCCTATGGACATCCACATTGATACCAGCTCTAGTTTACCAGGCTTCTCCACAACTGCTGGCGACTTCACTGTGTGAGGAGGACACTGAGAAACATTAGACCGAGAAGATACGGCTCGTTGCAACAGTCCAGTCCACAGTAATGGGCTCTGGTCAAGACTCTCTGTCTGGATCACAGCTGGTTTCCTAATTAAGGGGAGACTTTCCACATCTAGATAATTTAATGACAGCTGCTTACAACATGTCTGTCCATGAAGTGAACCTAGCTGTAATAAAACAAACTCTGAACAAGCAACTGTGTGATGAAGTACTTTGTGGTTACGAAAGAGAACCCATCCTTAGAATTACAGCTCTTTTGAAGACTCAGCGCTCCACAGTGAACATCGTGGATTTGTCTGCTTAATACTGTGTTTTCTTCCCCAACTGGAAATCAGGAAGAACATGATCAAAAATGAGTCCGTAATTACATCTACATTGTGTTGGTGTGTTAACAGTATGACAGTATGATTCTATGACATGTGACCCAATGTTGGAGGTAAAACGACGGAAACAAAACGTCCTAGTTGATGCTAGAATTGTCGACCTCGATATCAACAGTTACACAAGTTAAGTTTTAGGCCCTGGATGGGACTTTCGACAGCAGGCTGGGGATGTTTTTTCGAGTCTTTATGGGAGTTTTACACGACCTCTACTGCCACCTGCTGGTAAGAAACAGCAGCTGAAGAACTTGCAAGGACATGACATGTTTTTTAAGCATCTTCTAGAAAAACTGTGGATTTTCACAAATACTTTGTAGAAAACAGATTTTATTTTAATCAACCAGTTTTGTACTATGGTGCCAAAGATCACATCAGGCTAAACTGCCCAAAATGTAATCTCCACTATCAGCAACAATGTCTGTCTTTGTTTTCTTTAGCTAAACATTCACACTGACAGAACACTGACGCCCGCAGCATTCATTTCTTGTATTTATGATGTAGGTGCATCACTGTTGTCTGCCCACTCACGAGAACTCAACAGCCGCTTTCCCAGGCTGCCTGCATCCAGTCATCCAGTCACAATCACCCCTTTGTGGTCAACTTATTGGAGGCCTAACTGGTGTTACTGCAATACTGCAATAATTACTCGATTCAGTCATCAATATATGGAAAGAATATGAATTTGCAAACGGTCAAATAATTCAATGTGGCCAAAATGGTTCATGTAGAAATAAAATATTCAGCAAATATGGCACAAAGATAAGTGTAGAGCGTCCACTAGGTGGCGCCTTTGCCATGTCTTTAAAGAGTGAGAGAGGTCTGGTGACTGGAGGGATCAGTGTTAAATATGATTAATTAGAAATGACTCTGTGTGCAGAAAATATAAATACGCAAACAAAATAATTTCATTTCCTTGGTTCTATACTTCAAACTCATTTTATCATCGCATATTTAATGTGGTGGCAGAAGCTATTTTGAAACCACGCTTAGCTTTGCTTCATTTCAGCAAATGTAAACTGCTCAGTGGTTTATTTGCAGGACCTGCCCACACAGAGCTTTCAATCCTATCCACTTACACTCAATCAATAACACCATTCCATTTATACAGGAATGACATCATGCAAGCTCTTATAAAAGCGCTGCTGCAAGTATTCTTCTTTTCAAATTCCTGGCAACTTTGGAAAAAGCAACAGTATATTATTGAATTCTGACTCATATGTGTCAGCCTGAGCCTTGCAAGCATTTCATTAGTTCCTTATTGCACTGGCATGGGTGGGGGTGGGGGGTATCCCAAAGCGGATGTCAGAGCTTTTTGTAGTGTTTTGGGTGAAGTGGCAAAGCAGGAGGAGATGAAGGATGGTGCATGGCCTTTAGAGATGCAACCCAAGAGACAGGATGCACACAGAGTCATTGTCTCAGCAGGCTTAGTATTCAGCTCCCTTTTGCTCCATCACCATGGCCGAGGATCAAATCAATTCAGCCTGTTGGCTGGCAGGGGTACAGCTACCCAGTGGGTGCAGCCCACATACAAATACACCCAACACTGGTCTAGACACACAGAATGCAGTGCTGTGGTAGACTTCTTCCCACGCTACAATGTTACAGCTCTGAGCAGTGTTACTCCAGTGATGTGCTGTCAAGCCATTCCCCTCTTTGTGTCAGAGACATCTGGTGGCTGCGCAAGAAGCTCAGCATGGCTGCTAACGTCTGATATGTGTGAAACTCTGACATAGGAAATGATATACAGGTGGCAGTGCAACACGCTGGAGTTTTAGTGCCTGTAGGGACTGGATTATGTCAAAAAAAATGAGAAATAGTTGCTTCTTGCGCAAAGCTGTCACTTGTTATGTGACAACTGGCTAAAAAAATGGTGTGCAAGTGTGCAAGGGTGTGCAAGAACTCTTGCTGTGAGTGACAACTTCAAACCTGACCTTGATATGAGATACCGGGCTGCAGTCTCAGACAGTGAGGTATGTCTGATGTTCACGTTGGGATAGCGGCTGGCACTCACCTTGTTATCCATCTGTGTGTGTGTGTGTGTGTGTGTGTATTTATATGTGCTGCTGGCCAGAAAGAGAACACCATCTACTACCATATGCTTCAGCCCCCTGTAGTGCCAAGGTTCTTCTTTCCATATCTTGTGCTCTGGAGTTTGAGAACACACCGAGGTCCCCGGCTGATCCCAGGATGCCACTTGTGTTTCCAATATTTCTCGAAAGATAAAGAGGTCAGAACAGACCAATGGCGTTCCACGATTTTGCATAGTTCCGATTAAGTTCTGCCTTTTCCCATAAGAGACCAGCACTGTATGTAAACTGTATGTAAAGTTTACCTCAGGAAGATACTTTGAAAACCAAAGGAGCTTCAAAAGTTTGAAACATCCGATGAGAGAATAAACCAAAGAAGAGAACACCAAGGAGCAATGATCAATCACCTTATTTTTTATTATTAATTTTGAAGCAAAAAAAGAAAAAAAATCTAAGTCAAAGACATTTTCCTTACTGCACAGACTTTACCTGCTGGATCCTTCCGCTGCTATCGTCTGATTTGACATCTTTGTATGAAATTTCTTAGAGTCAGATGATTCATGTGGTTTAGTTTGTCAATATGGAGTTTTTTTTTTTAATGATATGAACAAAATGCTTCCTGATGTGTGTGAATGGTGAAGTATTGCTGCCCTTCAGGGAAGGCAGTAGGTTGTATAGTTATCTCCTGATTGGGCAAAATCACTACCCTGAAACCACACAACCTACTACCTCACCCCGTACGAACATCAGTAAAGGCCCTACAGGCTGGATAAAATCTTTGGTAATGATAAAAGTGTTATGATGACATATACAATCTGTAAATGAATATACAGAATTTGACAAAAACCATACCTACATGAAAAGCAAACACTGAGATTTTTGTCGAGTTTTAATTACTAAAACCCCCCAAATATTTGATGATTTCTTTTAGATTTTTACAAGTGCAAAGAAAATAAACAAAGAGACTGGCGGCTAAACAGGAGGAAACTTTGGAAACTATTATGCAGCGCAAAGTGTCTGCTGAGATATGAGGAGGACATTTTTGCTGTTGTTGTGTTTTACACAAAAAGAATGAACACTTACAATGAAAACACAGTTGTACTTTATTGGCAATCAACGACTTGCACAAAGCGGCTACAGTCCTTAATAACTTTCTGCTATCAAACTCGGGCTACTGAGCCGTTAGCAAGTAGTGCGTCGATCTGGTTCCGTGCACTCCACCAAAGGCATCTGACGACATTACAGCCACTTCAGGAAAGACAGTAAGTTGTATAGTTATCTGACAGGAAGGGTACGACCCTAAAACTATACAACCTACTACCTCACCCCAAAGGACAGTCTTTAAAAACAAAGTCCTTTCAGGTCCCCGTTCATGCAGGTAATCCGCTTTGACACGGCTCACTGAACACAGAACAGCGGTTATGATTCACAGAAACATGCCACTCCCCTCTGGGACACCTCACCACCGCGGCCAGAGTCTGTGAGCTCAAAACACAATGTGACAACTGGGTCTCCGGGTTCATTGCCCGGGCTGAGGGGGGTAATTCAAATGACCCAACAAGCAAATTGCGCAGCCAAGACATTTCCATATTCAAATGCAACCAGTAAATAACTTAAATGGTATATTCATAATGAACATTGTATAGCAAACACGCTAACCTCAAAAACACTCTGAAACATTATTATATTCACAAATATCACATAGCTTTTAGAAGCTAGGGTGGGTGTGGCCAGTCACATGACAAATAAGCAAATAGAATCATTTTAGATCAAGTTCTGGCAAACCTATATACTATTAAGATCAGTGTTCAAAGTAACGTATTGAAACAAATTAAACAGAGCTATGCTGTTTCCAGTTTGGCAGCACTGTTTCCTGTGGTTCTGAGCGATAACCTTGCTCACTAAAGTTGAGAGTGGGAGAGCTCAAGCTAGCTCATATCCTGGCCCACATGTGTGGAGCAGAGGTCTGCAGCTGCTGCTGCCTCCGTTAATGTTTCTCACCTGCTATATAACATGCATCGAGAAAAGGGGCTGGAAGGGCCCACTGGCCTATAACCTCCTCCCTCCATCATGGTTTCAGCAGCATGTCAGGTAGTCTCCATGTGGAAAAACCCAAGAGGGAAAATCTGTTACTTCTGCAACAAAGACAAAAGGGGAAACAGAAAAATACTCCAGCATGATGACTTTTAGATTTGACATATGTGAGATCAATTGCAAACACTGCAGCCAGTTCAAACGCTGCATTTTGGACCTTTGGGTGAAGACGTGTCTGGCTTTGCTTGCAGTTTGTATATGGGGGTTATATTTATTTACAGAGCGGTTCATGCTCATGTGTTCTTTGATAAAACCACACCATTGTGCGTGTTTCGTGCCATACAGTCGCCTGATTACTGTATATAATCGAATGTACTGGGAAGACAGAAATGTACAGCACAGCACAATACAAAGCAGTATGTCTTGAGCTGAGAGGCCCCATTGCGTCTGCTCAGTGGTGAGTCTGAGGTTCTCTGCATTATTCAACACCACCTTACTTACAACATAGAGCTGTGGGTTGTAAATATGCGCAGGCACACACCTGTACAGTATAACAGACACAAAAGGACCAAACAGATACTTTGCAGACAGAAACAACCTGAGAGAAGAAATATGGCAACCTACAGTTAGCACACATATACATTTGCACACACATTTAGTAATGACAAACGGAGCTCGCATAATTTACAAGGACTTAATTTACTTATGATGGACAACACTTAAATTCATATATTTAGATGCTCTAGAATAACACTGCTTTGCAGAAGGCCTGAACTTAGAACAAACTCCACTACAGAGCTCAACTTGCAATGATTTTAGGACCTAAATCAGTCCCTACATAGACAAAACCGTATGCTAAAGCATGTAACTCATTTTATTGTGCAGTCCTGCAAAACGCTCTGTGGCGCAGGGCCCAGACTTCATAATGTAGGGTCAAGACACATTGTCCTCTACATCTGCTGATTGAACATACTTTAATCTAATATAGTATATGACCCTGGGGTCCTGACCAATAAATAATGAAAAATATCATTTTCAAGTGAAGTCAGAGCCAGTTGCTATCTTCCAGTGACAGGAAAATATTCACGCTTACACCCACGCACATGTACTGTAGAGAACTAACATGAAATGCAAGCATATATACACACACCCACAGGTCCATACTCATGTTGCACACTTGTTTTTTTTTACCGCAGTTCTAGAGGACAATCTGGAACTCTTCTTTGGTTGTCGTGCAAACTCAACAAGCTGGCTCTGTAACTAAAGTACTGCTTCAGCCTCACACTTCCCTCAGCTCAAGTTTTGCTTTCTGCACATCTTTGCCTCACAATGTCCCATAAAACACATATATGGATGCACACGTGAAACCAAATCACATACAGAAGGTCACAGTTTGAAACACATGCACATAAGCTTGGAAAAAGGAAGTAAGGTAAAACATTTTACTGATTTACCTAATCATATTTTCACACAGTGTTCACAGCAAAGCTAGGCGCTGCTTAAAAACTCACTTTAACTTAATCACACTTGAGTCTAAGTGCTACATTGCCAATCAGTTCAGCTATAACCTTGTAACCTGATCTTTGAGGTTCTGGTGGTTTAAGGTCAGCGAGTGGGTAGATTTTTTTTTTAAAGACCACTTTAATGTAATATCCAACCTCAGATTCTTCTTATTCATTCCTGAAAATTACAAATTTCCATCATGTTTTGTCGTTTTACTGACCACTCAAAGCTTTAATGTATCTCATCTATTCTGCACTTACAGAACATACCAACATAAATATACCGTGGTTCATTACCAGAACCTTCTGGCTGTGAGGCAGCAGCACTAACCTCTACAACATTGTATCACCGACATAAAAGATGGTTACAGAAAGAAATGTCAGCATATATTAAATGCTCTTCATTTACCTAAAATAAATAAATGATAATACAAACCACTACAACAGTGAAATCAATATTTAAACCTTCTCGTCTTTTATTTGGTCACAGTCAGACTGACTTCTGATGTTTCACCATAAAATCTAGAGATGACAGTGCAGTAGCACTAGCAATGTAGTTTTTATTGCAAGGGGATATTTCTGGCACTCAGAAGGATCTACAAAGTTCATTAAAGTCATGCAATTTGCATTTTTTGTTTCTATACTTATGTATAGAGGCAAATAGTTGACTTTTGGCCAACGACGCAATAAAGTTTACGACGCACAAGTACAACTACGTTGCATATCCAGTGACCTAGTCAAACCGACGATATCTGCAAGTAGCACAAAATTTCAAGTGGAAAATTTGAAATCATACGCTTACTTATTGGCTAATATCTAATCAGACAATTACTACATCATCTGTACTGAAAGTCAATGCGGACACAGGTTTTCTATAGCATTCATTTAACCGTTTGATAACCAAAAACTACCAGGCCAACCTTCATGAATAATAAAATAAAACAAAAAGCTTCTTAATTGCCACAAGGGGTCACCACAGCAGGCGGCTCTGCATGCTTTGTCAGAGTTAGATGCCAGATACAAGCCCTAAAGGGATGTATGTCTCCAGCTGGAACTGAACAAGTGCCCTTTGACTTCTCAAGCATATGTGTTAACCACTACACCACTGGAGGGTCTTCCTCATATACAAAAATCCTGATGGGTAAAAAAAAAAGAAAAAAAGAAAAAAGAAAATACAATAATATCTATAAAAAACATTGTATTCAGGGTAAAAAGATCACTCACACACTACACTATAGTTCAACTTTGCAAGTACAGCCATACACACTCAACATGGTGACATTAGTGTGCAGTCTCTAGTCACAAACGATGTGGTCAGAAATACCTGTTTTTCTTTTTATGTCCTGCTGCAGCAGAAGTGGTGCAGACACGAGGAATCTTGTAGATAGACAGGGTGGACTATTCACCCCCCACCACCCCCACCACCCTCGATACAGATAGCACAGCAGTCATGACCCATCTATTTATACCAGGGCCAAGGGGCAGGCAGCAGTAGGAGGAGGACAGGAGCTGGGGGAAGAGGAGAGGCTGCTTGGGCAGGTCCTGTTACACATGCCAGGGGGAATGGCTGGGGCAAGCCACAGGGGGATTCTGCTCAAAGTCAGACAGGCTGACCTCCCCGTCACCTCTGCATGAGGCAGATACTGAGCTTGCAAACCTTGTGCAAGTGTGTGTTAGGAATGAAAGAACAGGGAGTTCAAAGTTCACATGAATAAGTTTGAATGTACAGTGTGTGCATAGCGCGTGTTTGTGATGCTGCAAGAACACATTAGCGCATGTGCACTGAACGCACTTGACACTTGTGGTGTTTGTGCAAGCAGATGAGCAAATGCATACATGTGCAAGTGTGCATGTACTCACGCCAATGTGGTTAAAGTGTGTGTCTGCCTGTAAGACTGTGAGATGAACTGACCCCACTGACTTATACCCCTCCAACCCCTCCATCCCGCAGCAGAGCCATAAACATGGCAGGTGAGGAGGGCTGGATTAGGCAAACTTAGCTCATTCCAGTGTGGCCCTGCGGCCCCAACTCTAGGGGTAAAAAACAAATGAGACCCCAATCACTGTAATGACAATGTACACAGCAGGGGTTTCCCACACCACTCAGCCCAACCTTGCCAGCTGCTTCTCATCTCTCTCACGCAGTGTACAATTGCACATACACAAAGAAACATCCACACATTTGCATGCATATACACACAGGCTGCAGGATGCACAGCAAGACCAAAACAGACTTTTAATTCATTTGAAAGCCTGATGCTTA